TTACATTTGAGTCTTTAATGCATTTTTAGTTAATTTTTGTATATGGTCAGTGTTAGGGGTCCATTTTCATTCTTCTGCACATTGCTAGCCAATTTTCCTGGCACCATTTATTAAATAGGGTGTCCCTTTTCCTTTGTTTATTTTTGTTGGTTTTGTTGAAAAGAAGTTGCTTTTAGATATGTGACTTTATTTCTGGGTTCTCTAGTCTGTTCCATTTATCTATCTGTCTATTTTCAGTTCCTATAGCTTTATGGTCTAATTTGAAATCAGGCAGTGTAATGAATGCCTCTGCTTTTGTTCTTTTTACTTAGAATTACTTTGGCTATTCAGGCTCTTTATTGATTTCATATAAACATTAATGTTATTTTTTTCCAGTTCTGTGAAAAATGATGTTGGTATTTTGATAGGAATTGCACTGAATCCCTAGATTGCTTTGGGCACTACGCTCTTTTTAACAATGTTGATTGTTCCAGTCCATGAGCATGGAATTCTTTTCCATTTGTTTTTGTTGTCTATGATGTCTTTCGTGAGTGTTTTGTCATTCTCCTTGTAGAGAGATATCACCTTCTTGGTTACATATATTCCAATGTCGTGTGTGTGTGTGTGTGTGTGTGTGTGTGTGTGTGTGTGTGTGTGTCTGTGTCTGTGTCTGTTGTAAATGGCATTGAGCTCTTAATTTTTCTTTCTTTTTTCTTTCTTTTTTTTTTTTTAAGTTGGGGTCTCACTCTGTCACCCTGGCTAGAGTGCAATGGCACAATCACAGTTCACCGCAGCCTTGTCCTCCTGCACTCAGGTGATCCTTCTACCTCAACCTCCGAAAAGCTGAGGTTACAGGTGAGTAACACTGTGCAGCTAATTTTTTAAATTGCTATGTTGACCAGACTGGTCTCAAACTCCTGGGCTCAAACAATCCTCCCACCTTGGCCTCCCAAAGTGCTGGGATTATAGACAGGAACCACTGGGCCCAACTGGATTGAGCTCTTGGTTTGGCTCTCAGTTTGAGCATTACTGGTGTATAGAAATGTTACTGATTGGCCAGGCTTGGTGGCTCAGCCTGTAATCCCAGTACTTTGGGAGGCTGAGGCAAGAGGATTACCCAAGCCCGCGGGTTCGAGATCCACCCAGGCAATTTGGAGACACCTCGTCTCTACAATAAATCAAAGATTAGCTGGGTGTGGTAGCGCATGCCTGTAGTTCCAGCTATTTGAAAGGCTGAGGTGGAAGGATTGCAAGAGCCCAGCAGGTTGAGGCTGTGGTGGCCAAGAGCATGCCACTGTCCTCCAGCCTGGGTGATAAAGTGAAACACCAACTCAAAAAAAAAAAAGAAATGTTACTGATTTGTGTGCATTGATTTTGTGTCCTGAGATTTTACTGAAATTCATTGTCATGTCCAGAATTCACTTGGAAGAGTCTTTGGGACTTTCTAAAAACTGTGTCATCAGCGAACAGGGATAGTTTGACTTCTTTGCCAATATGAATGTCTTTTATTTATTTCTTTTACTGGATAGCTCTTGCTAGGACTTCCAGTAAAATTTGAATAAGAGTAGTGAGTGTGTACCTCTTTGTCTTTTTTTAGTTCTGAGGAGGAAAGTTTTCACCTTTTCCTCATTTTGTATAATGTTAGCTTGGGTTTTTCATATATGGCTCTTATTATTTTGAGATATATTCCTTTGATGCCTAGTTTGTTGAGGGTTTTTATCATGAAGAGATATTGAATCATATCAAGTGCCTTTCCTTCATCTATTGTGATGATTATATGCTTTTGTTTTTACTTCTGTTTATGTAGTGGATCACATTTATTGATTTGTGGATATTGAATGACCCTTGCATCCCTGGAATGCAACCCACTTGATCGTGATGGATTTTTTTTTCTTTATATGCTTTTGAATTCAGTTTACTAGTATTTTGTTGAGACACTTTACATCTATATTTATCAGGGAAATTGCCTGTATTTATCTATCTATCTATCTATCTATTTATTTTTTAGACAAAGTCCCACTCTACCATCCAGGCTGGAATGCAATGGCATGCTCACGGCCACTGTAGCCTCCACCTGCTGGGTTCAGGTGATCCTTTCACTTCAGCCTTCCAAGTAGCTGGAACTACGGGTGCACATCACTATGCCTGGCTAATTTTTTTGATTATTATAAAGACAAGCTCTTGCCGGTTGCCCAGGCTGGTCTCGAACCGTGGGTTCAGGCAATCATCTTGCCTCCGCCATCCAAAGTGCTGGGATTGCAAATGTGAGACAAAACCACGCCTGGATGTTTTTTGCTGTGTCTTGCCTGATTTGTATCAGTGTGATACTGGTTTCATAGAGTGAGTTAGGAAGGAGTCTCCCTTCCTTAATTTTTTGGAATAGTTTCAGTAAGATTTGTACCTGTTCTTTTTTGTGCATCTGGTAATGTTCAGTTGTGAACCTGTCTGGCCCTGTGCTTTTGTTTGTTGGAAGACTTTTTTTTTAACTGATTCAATTAAATTGCTCATTATTGGTCTACTCAGGGTATCTATTTCTTCCTGATTCAAACTTGGGGAGGGTTTATGTTTCCAATAAATTATTCATTTTTTTCTAGGTTTACTAGTTTGTTGCTGTAGGGTGTTTATAGTAGTCTCTGATAATCTTTTCTATTTCTGTGGTATTGGTTGTGATGTCACCTATGTCATTTCTGATTGTATTTATTTGAGTCTTCTCTCTCTCTCTCTCTCTCTCTCTCTCTGGTTTAGTTAAGCTATCAGTCTGTCAATATTGTGTATTCTTTTGAAGAACCAACTTTTTGATTCATTGATCATTTGGTTCTTTGGGGTTTTTGGGGGGAGGGTCTAAATCGCATCCAGTTGTGCTCTGATCTTTATTATTTCTTTTCTTCTGCTAGCTTTGGGTTTAGAATGTTCTTGTGTTTCTAGTTTGTTGAAGTGCAAGGATATGCCATTGATGTCAGATCTTTTCTATCTTTTTGGACATAGGTGTTTAATACTATCAACTTTCCTCTCAGCACTGTTTTTGCAGTATCCCAGAGGTTTTAGTATGTTTTATCACTATTTCATTTGTTTCAATGAATTGTTTTATTTCTGACTTTATTTCATTGTTAACCCAAGGGTTATTCAAGAGCAACTTTTTTACTTCCGGGAGTAGTATAGTTTTGGGAGTTACTCTTGGTGTTGATTTCTAATTTTTTCCACTGTGGTCTGAGAAGGTGCTTGGTATAATGTTAATATTTTTTAATATATTGAGACTTGCTTTATGGTCTAGCATATGGTCTGTTTTGGAATACATTCAATACAAAGGTAAGAAGAATGTATTCTGAAGTCGTTTTCAGAATACACTGTTGCAGTATTCAGAATATGCCAATGCAGTAGCTATTCAGGAATGAACGCTTTGTCAACTTCCACCCACTTAGCCTTTTTAATTTTTTTTCAGATATGCTCTCATCACATTTCAGAGAGTCAGAGTCATTCTAGTGAATAACACTTCTGAAACAATCTGTGTCAAAAGTCCCCAAGACCACCTTTGGCTCAGTAATTTGCTATAAGACTCACAGAATTCTGAAATGCTGCTATACTCACTGTTATGGATTATTACAGTGAAAAGACACAGATGAAAGTCAGTAAAGGCAAATAGTGTATGGGACAGAGTCCAGGAGAGACACAGCACTGAATTTCCAGTAGAGTTATACATACAATTAAGAATTAAGAGAATTCTCCAACAGCATTGTAGGACACTTGCAGGGCTGTATTTATTTGGACTAATATTTCCCCTAATGTGAATAGCATTTTCCTCAGGAGAATTTGCTGAAAGTATGCAGAGCCATCGTTGGAAGTCAGAACTGCCCAAGACAATGGATAACACTTGGGGCACATAATACACAAGCCCAAAAACTTTAAAGCCCTGGACATGAGGTGACCATAGGGGCTTTGGCCAGCTCTGATCCATTCTTGGGATCCTAGCAGACCATGCTTCTGAGTAGGGCTGAGTGCAGCTGTGTGCACGATCAGGAAGACCTGGAGGCCCTGAGCTCTCCCCTCTGACTAACCAGTGGTCCAGTGCAAACAGAACCTGAAGGCTAAGGTAAAGTTGTCATTGCCTGACTGAATGCTGAAGGCATGCCCCAAAACACATGTAGAGCTCCTTAGCAAAGATTGGGAGATTTATGGTTCCAGGCGTCTCAGGAAATTTCTAGCCCAGTGATTTGTTGACCACTAAGCTGAGTAGAGTTCAGTGGCCAAACTTAACTAGGAATAGAGACATTACAGAATTAGTTTTGTGTCTTCTGTGTGAGTCTGTGTATAAGTATGTTTTCTGAGTGTGGGTAGTTTTGTGAGTGTGTGAACCTGTCTGTATGTGAGCATGTGGGAAAGAGTTGGGGAATATATGAGAGGTGCTTGCATGATTACTGGTGTCTGTGAGTGTCTTGACATGTCAAATGTTTAGTGTGAATGAGAGGACTTGCCCCATATTCCCTCAGATTATCATACCCTCCCTAAAACAAGTGCAGATGACAAACAACAGGGGTAAAGGCCACTCAGAATAGGCAGGTGCAGTGAGGGAGGGGCAAGGTCACATTCTAGGAGAGAGGTTGAAGCCACATTAGAAGATTTGGGCCTAGTGGGGAGTTGTGTGGGAGGGTCACATCAGACCATGGTTATCCCAGAAGTCTGCACAGAGCTGAGAGGTTTGAGGTGGGGCAGAGAGGGTGATGTCTGCTTGGCCCCTCTACCACCCTACCCTGGGTAAGTGTCCCAAGCAGGTAGCAGGAGCAAGGTTCTCTGGAGCCACTCCCTCCACCCCAGCCCTGCCCTAGCCCTGCAACCTCTGACAGCACAGTCAACACTGCAGGTTGGCTCACAGCAGAGGGCAAAGGTCAGTGTCAGTTCCCTTTATAAGGGAACAGCCCAGACTGGTCGATCACTCAGGGTGTTGTGTGTCCTGCTTGGTCCTCTGTGCCTGGTGGGGTGGGGTGTGCCAGTTGTGCCCAGAAGAGCCTGTGTGTAACAGGGCAGCCATGGGGTTGCTAATGGGTGATGCACTGGCATCCGTGGCTGTGGCCCTGGCCATCTTCCTGCTCCTGGTGGACTTGATGCACAGGCGCCAACAATGGGCTGCACGCTACCCACCAGGCCCCATGCCAGTGCCAGTGCTGGGCAACTTGCTCCAGATAGACTTCCAAAACATACCATACTGTTTCAACCAGGTAAGAGATGTGATAGTGGAGGGCAGCAGAGATCCTGGGAACCACCTCCCCCCTCCCAGCAGTAGATGTGATAGTGGGTGAAGTCACAGGCTAGGTAAGGAGCTGGGCCCCAAATAGGAAGCAGATTTGAGAGGCTACCTGGGATGGACTTTTGTGCAGGGCCTGATGGATAGTTTGGACTTTCCAAAGGCCAAGGTCTGGGAGAGCAAATCCCTGGACGTGGCACTGGGCTGCAAACCAGTTGGCAGCATATAACTATGGAAACCCCATGTCCCTTCTAATTACACTAGAAGTTGAGGTCTTGGAAATGGAAGAGGGGTCGAATGCTGAGCACCATTTAAATCAGGAAATCGAGATTTAGAGAGGTGCAGTGACCTGGTTCGAATCTTTTGTGGCTGTGGGTCCTTGGGCCTCACTTCTAACTTCTGTGAACTTCAGTTTTCTTATCTGTAAAATGGGATGCTACCTGAGGCCTACTGATCATTTTGGTGACTGTTTCAAGTCATAACTGGGTGGTAGATCCAAACTGAGTTCTCTCAATCACAGAGGATGTGACCCTCAACACTTGAGATCAGGAGGTCAGGTCTCCTTCTGGCACAATCTCACTGGCAGCCCTGGAGTTCCCCAGGACTTGTGCTCTGAGTCTGGGGCCGGCAGCCTGGCAGATCCCGGCCTCACTGACGACCTGTCTCGCCACCTACAGCTGCATCGCCGCTTTGGAGACGTGTTCAGCCTGCAGTTGGGCTGGATGCCAGTGGTCGTGTTGAACGGGGTGGTGGCAGTGCGCGAGGCTCTGGTGACCTGCGGCGAGGACACAGCTGACCGCTCGCCTGTGCACATCTTTGATAAACTGGGCTTCGGCCCGCGCTCCCAAGGCAAGAGACGGTGGTGGCTGAAACCTCGTCCAAGCAGGACCTGGGCGGGTAGTGACCAGAGGCAGGACAGGGCCTAATGGGAGCGGAGACTTGGCCGTGGAGGGCAAAAAAAGCGAAGG